ATGATGTCGGTGACCGCTTTTGCAGTTGAGCAGTTGCAATTTGAGTTACTTTCTAATCTTTTACAGAAAATGTCTTTCTACCTCTCATCCATAACCTAAATGTAAGTGAGGAGTTTTACTAGGTTCTTATAGGAAGCAATCTATATGGAAGTAAGTATGAAATGCAACCAATAATGTCATTTCTTAGAGAAATAGAGTGCTCCCAAGAAAAAAAATTTTTCCAAAGGACAAACCAATAATCCAATTAAAGACAATCTCTTATAAGAGATAAAATCGAAGTACCTAATTTTTAAGTTTTTTTCCAAATAGTACTTGTTTTATTATTTATTTATTTATTTATTTATTTATTTATTTATTTATTTATTTATATTTTAACTTCAAAAATTTTATTCTTACCTCACCCCAACATGCTGCATGTTGCCATGCTGTGTACAAAATACAGGCTTACTACTATTCTAGTCATAGAGGGTTGTGGGGGTTTTTTACTTCAGTGTTTTTATTAAATCTATTGGGGTGACATTGGTTAATAGGATTATATAGGTTTCAGGTGTGGATTTCTATGTTACAAGATCTGTATATTGCACTGTGTGCCCACCACCCAAAGTCAAATGATCTTCCATCACCATATATTAGGCCCCCTTCACCCCCCACCTCCCTACCCCATTCTCTCTGGCAACTACCACACTGCTGTTTATGTCCACAAGTTTCAATTTTACATCCCCCATCTGAGTGAAATCATATGGTTCTTAGCTTTTTCTCCCTGACTTATTTCACTTACAATATTCTCAAGGTCCATCCATGTTGTCGCAGATGGCAGTATTTCGTCTTTTCTTATGGCTGAGTAGTATTCCATTGTGTCTATATATGACAATTTCTTTATCCAGTCCTCTATCAAAGGACACCTTGGCCACTGTGAATAATGCTGCAGTGAACATAGGGGTGCATATATCTTTGCAAATACATGTTTTCGAGTTTTTTGAGTATGTACCAAGGAGAGGGATTACTGGTTCATATGATAGCTCCATTTTCAGATTTTTCAGACATCACCAGACAGTTTTCCATCCCAAGTATCTAATTTAAGGTTCCTTTTGGTACCTAGCATTTCAACATCCAGCTTTTCATACTAACAGGAAAACTTAATGACAGTCAACAAACCCCAAAAATGCTAATGAAGAGAGGCCAGAGGAAAATAGTATGCACAAAGGTTTTGTATATGAGAGAGCTCAGATGCTAGAGGCTCTCAGGGATTCTGATTACAGCCTGAAAGCTTTAAATAGGACAGGAGCTTGCTATTTCACATAATTTACAGTAGGATCTTTATCACAGGATGGAAAATTCGAACTAATAGTGGACAGAAGGCAAAATTTGAGGAGCCAGTGTTTACTGTCTACTAAGGGATCAAGTAGAATTTCTAAAAAAAAAAGAGATGTAGAGGGAAAATTTGCCCAGACAAACCTATAAGGAGTAGAGAAGGGGAGTTAGTTTCTTATGAACACACCTTTTGTACATTTTTATTATGATTAATTTGCATATACATGAACACATTTCATAATCATCTGCTGTAATTGGTGGAAAAGAAGTCCCACCAATGTCTTGTTCCTGACACAAGCAGAATGGGTTAGGAGAGCCCCAGTAGGCTGGGCCAGAGTGGAAGGGGGCTTCTGCAGCACTGGGTGTTAGATTCAAAGGCTTGAATGGACTTAGGTTCGATGACTTGACCAGACCACCTTATGGGTGGTACTTGCACTTGCTACTCTACCCCATTAGAGAGACACCACGTCTGCATGACCAGCTCACTTTGACTTTTGCTGAGAACACTATTTTGCAAAGGCTGCTCTGAACATTTGATGGGTCACTTCAACATTTACAAAGCGGTTGCTAGGTACAAGGTGTGTTTGAGCACATGCCGCAAAGGTAACAGGTGCTCTTCTTATTACAGGAGCCTCTGCTGGCCAAAAGATCTTGACAGTATCCACTCCAGGCCAGCCCTTGAAGGCCCATTCATCCCTCGCTAGGGCTGGGGTGCCTCCTGACACCCCCCTCCCCTTGCACCACCAGGTGCCTCCCCTCTCCCCCTAGCTGCAACTTCCCTGACTCGCCTGAAGAGCAGCAATGATGATGATGATGGTGATGATGATGATATTGCACTTCTCCTCTGCATTGTTAATTTGGAGAATTGTTCTAGGTTGAGGAAACTGCCTCACCTCCAGAAATGCATCTGAGGATATCAGATGTTCCCAGACCCTTGTCCTAGTATTGAAGAGTATTCAGTGTGCCTAGAAATATGGTGGTGATTAGGGGAGTACGGGG